TTTTTTTTTTTTTTTTAAATCACGGTCTAACTCTAATGGAAAAAAAAAAAAAACACAGCTTAGTAAAGCACCCCAACGTACACCTGAAGATACCATATATTTAGTCTAATGCATTCATTCAGTGAGCTGCATGTTTCATAGCAAGACTTTTATTGCATTGGTAAACCAAACAAGGGCTAATACGTCACATGTGTATACTTGCTAGGAAATCCTAGTAAATTTTAAGTGTATGAAGGGATTTGTTTTTTTTCAGCATTGCTGATAATCAATCCTAGGCAAACTGGGGTATAACCAATCATGGAAAATGCATTTTAAGGCAGACAATTTAAGTAGCTATAGTTGAGTTTAATGAATTTCAAAACCAACTGTACCTTTGTAAACTACAGTATTTATCAGCTTACATCTCATTTGTATGCTCTGTCACGGGAGGGGAGTATTGTGCTTTTACTCTTTATACACCGTACGTGGAATTTGTACATCTCAGGTTGGCTAACAATGCAATATGCAGCTTTTGTTTGTAGGGTAATTAAACATTGAACTCTCCTTTCTATGTAAACAGAAACATTTAGCTCATGAAGAAATATGTTCCAAACGTTGACCTTCATAAAGTGAGGCCTAATTGACTAATTTCTAAGAATGCCTTTCTAAAGGATTTGTCTCCTAAAAGAACTAAATTGCTTTGAGTATATACAGTAAAAGCATACAGCCTGTCGTTCTGTGGCCAATGATTTTGGAGACATATTTCTTTTTTTTTTTTTTCCCCCACAGTTAAGTTTCAAGACTTGCATTAGATAGTCAGGTAGTGTTAATTGATATCTTTCTTTATTGGTATCTTCAGTTGCTCACTTACGTGAAGGCTACATTGCCTTATTAAGGTGTGAAATGAACACTCTTCTTCTGTTTCCAAGCAGATGAGCAAAGAAATAAAAATATATAATATATAAAGGTATTGCAGTGATGAAACAAAACCAAAAAAATGAGAAACTCTACACATGACTAGTCTTTCATAAAAGAGAAGTCTGTGGGCAGTTAACTAATGCCAGTTGGAGTAGGAAATCTTAAGGGTTGAAAGATGAACCCTGTCGGTTGCATTTACAATTTGTAGTTAAAGGAATGCTTGTACCAGTCTGTCATCCACAAAAATTCTTGTTTTCACCTAGGTATTGCATGTAGTAGGAACAGTTTAGATGCGTTAAGCAATAACTATTTTCACCAGGGAAAAGCTGTTAAAACTCAATTTATAATTGAGCTAGATAGTCTAATGAATGCAATCAAATTTTAAATTTAGATTCTTCATTCACAAAAGTTTGCAACATGCTGGTGGCAGGCTAAGCAAAATCATTTTCCTTTCTTCTGCTATGCTTTATATATTTGAAAGTTAAATAATTTACAATGGGCAAATGGATTTAAAATGTTAAAAGTAATGTCTAAATTATATATGAGACAGAATGGAATGGAAAATAAAAATTTACGGTTTTCCTTATTCAGTTGCTTACCCTTTTTGCTTTTGTACGCATCGGCGTATCTTGACCGTATCGGGAGGGAGCATCAGATAGATAGACTTCAACATCATCAGGCACTTCTTCAAGAAAGTTGGAAGGAACCAGCCCCTTTTGTCCATTAAGTTCACCCTGCAGCATGAGGAACAGTTTTCCATTTGAGTCAATGTTAAATCAAATGTAGGTTCCCAAGAAGGTAAGGAAATACTTTTAATGCTATTTTCAAAGCCAGTGAGGAAGGGGAGGTGTGCACGTAAGGCTACATCACATCACAGTATATCCAAACAAGAGTCAGCCACAAGGTAGACTTTCCTCTTTCTGTAATTTAGCAGTGAATGCTATCCATCATTAAATATGAAAGGGCACGATGAGAACGGTTTCTGTCTATACTTCAGAGTGACACTAAAATGTGTATCTTAAAGGTGTTTCAAGTACTCTGGCAGTTCACTCACTCATCCAATTTGCTATATTAAGGTTACAACGTGGCAGCCTTTTTCATCTTGGTGCAGATAATTCTAGCCTATGACCTGATGAATCAATCCTCATCCTCAGTGGATTTGTACATAGGAATCCTTAGTAATTTTATGTCAACTTGCAAAAACAGAGTCCATATACAATAAACACGCTTACGCAAAATCACAAGAATTAGTGTGCGTAACGGAGCGACAATGTTCTTTTCTATGAACAATGGAGAAGCGAGAGCTGAAATTGCACACCATTTCTAGCCTTGGATCCTTAAGCCTGCAATAAGCTAGATATACGTGGTGCTAGGATTCACAGCCTAAAAGCACTTCTCGGGCAATCAAACTATTCCTCTAGGTCTGAACTTGAGTCTCCTCTAAAAGGTAGCTGGAAGAGGCAGCTGTGCCTGTTTCTTTATGGAACAGCGAATGGCTAGTACACTATGGAAATGGAAGACCCAAGTTCAGGATGCAGACTGGCAGCTACTATCAACCTGAAGACAGTTTCTACTTAGCAAGCAGTGCTAGAACATTATCTGTCATTATTAAGCTCCTCTTCATAAATGAATGACAAAGACGCACGATCAGTTACCTAGTGCTCAAAATGCTATTGAAATATTTTGTTTATTTTTAAGTAACCTTTTATCATAATGACAGGCTCTACCTAGGTTTCTTTTTCTCCAAGTGCAGTATCTTACCCATTAGGAAGAAATCATGAAAGCTACGTGTTCATGTAGATGCATGTACAATCAAAATAGGTATGGTATGTTCCAGCCAAACTAAGTGAGACTAATATTACTTGTAAAATGCTAGAGGCAGCACTGAGTTGTTTGCGTAACAGTCCATCAGTAAGTACATGGGTTGAGGTGGCAAGAGTGAGCCGTCTTTAGTCCAGTTAATACTCTCCTCCTTTTAACTGAGAGTACCTTTTGGGTTCCGCTACAATCTGCACAGTAGTGGAGTGTTGTGAGGCCAGAGTCTAATCCTGGCTTGCCGAATGGACTGTTCGAGCTTAGAGGCTTACAGCCCGTTTCCCAGCTGGAAAATGGGAATAATGATACTGCCCCATTTTGAAAGTGCTTCCAGGTATACCATATAAGTAAGCAAGCTGAAGGTTTGTTGTTGCTGCTGTTTTTAATATTAGGATCACAGCTGTTTCCACAAAATAGGAAGCTGGAATTGCAACCTGATGTCCACGCGGGTTGTCACTTAGTCATTCACGCTAGCGAGGCTTGCTGTAACTGAGCTTGTTGCAGTTCAAACTGACCAGATAAAACCCAACTTACATAGTAAAATCCGTCTTCATCAATTTCACCAAAGACAGTAATAATGTCCCCTGTGCAGAATGTAAGCTCAGCCTGCAGAAAGAGGAACACGTGACAGTTCATGTTGTGCTAGATAAAAGTTAACATCGGCGAAAAAATTTTGGTGAAACTGAGCTGAACTGTAAGAGCAAAATCTGACACGCTCAACTGTGTGTTTGTTTGTTTGTTTGTTTACATTGCCAAATCTAGGAACCTCTCTCACTGGCTTCTGCATACCCACAGGAATTCTTGGGACAAACAAGCTGAATACGTCCAATCCTTGGAGATACTCGGCACTCGTCTGCACAACGCCTGGAGCACCCTGGACAAACACTGACATTGGCTCTGTGTTCAGCAAGGGCTTGAGCTAGCTGACTTCAAAGGTACCTTAGGGACAGTCCTGTGGGGAACACGACAGAGGGGAGGACAAGGTTCAGCTCACTCTCTACTGAGCTGAACACCAGGACTAAAGGAGACAAGAACAGCTCACCGTGTTTTTTCTGAAACAGGAACCAAATTGTGGAGACAAACCAGATTCTTTTTTAATAAAGGCTTTGTAACGGGCCTCTCTGGTCTCTCACCTGCAGGCTATATACTGGGCAGAGAATTAATTTCCTATGTATGTTTTTAAATTACATTTATTTTTTATATTGCCTGTGGCCATGAGAAAGAGAACAAATACAGTGTTGTTTGCAACATATCAGTGCAACATTTTTGATTTGTTGCCCATACTACTTTGTAGCACACTAATTTAGAACCAGATTTGGTTCACTGAAAAAAAGACAACACAACTCTGGTCCATTTTTAACGTATCAGGTCCCAAATATTTCTAAAATGCAGATGCAGAACTCACTTTCTCCATTAAAAAAATCCAAATTAATCTACACACCAACTAGAAGATGTATTAAATGATAACTGAAGAAGCTTCTAGGTGCGCAGTATTTTCCTTAGAGCTTTGAGTGTAGCCTGACATTCCTACCATAGGGCATTTAGTTTCCACCCAAAACTGCATCAATGACTGAGGGACTTGCCATGTAACATCAAAGACAATGTAAAAAGTGACTGCACTGTTTGATTCCGTTTTTGCTAATGACAAATATGGAGAGATGGAAGACTGCATCCATGTAAATGGAAGATAAACCCATAACGAAGATCCAGCTAATGCTCAGTAGTTGTTTAAGGTATCATTATGCTTTTTTTAAAAAAGGATTGCAGACAAGAAGAGAGTCATGAAAGCTCCGCGCATCAGTTAAAGAAAAAATACAATACATTATGAATGCTGTTCTGTTGTACTATATGGCTGTTTGGGGTGGGAGGGAGGCTTGTTTTTTGGACGCAAGGTAGGTTGTAGGCATTTAAAAGCATGCTTCACTCTATCAGTTGGTCAGTGTGAGCTGGGATGCTTCTAGAAAATAATCATCCTCTTAGCTGGAAACATACAAGGGAAATTTGAAAATAATAGCTGGGAAATAATCATTCCCTACAATTTATAACTTGTGTTTTTTTCCTTATGCACTTACTTTACATAAACATATATATACAGAGAGAGAGAGAGAGAGAGAGAGAGCGAGCGAGCGAGCACAACCATATATCCATAAATGACTATGTAATGCACTGAGCCACGTTAGATAAATCGTACAAAGGATACTCCTTGAATGTGTTTGAACAAGAACGATAAATCTGATTGTGCAGTGGTCATAAACATTTACTAGATATACATCTGTCTGAAAACATTTGACCAATGTTGCTAATTATGAACTTTCTAGTATTTTTCTACACATCAACTCTAATGTATAATAGTGCTTTCTAATACCAACTGTATTAACTAAATTATGGATCTAGAAATTTTTAAAAACAGTAAATAGTTACGTCAATACCTCTACGTCAACATTAGGAGAACTTTCTCTTGGATCGTAATCATATAGTGCCACCATCCTTCTTGTAGAAACTGAATGTTGTCTGCCGCTCCGTCTGTTCCTTTCTGTTCCAATCATAAGGAGAGGGAGGGAAGGAAAGCTATCCAAGTTATTTTGAAAAGAAAAAACAGGGTGCATTTCTTCCCCATGTCATTTCCACAACAGTGCAGTAACAAATCCAGTATTTCTCTAGTGTAGTGGTCGGTGGCCACAGATTAGCAAACCTATTAACACAGACACAGGTTTCAAAAAGCTTCTGCATTTCATACATAACAGCTGGGTTGCCCTCCTTATTCTAAGACGCTGAATCATCTGAACAGTATTTATTTGCAAAACTGATGTTCAGACATCTACAGCAGTTTCTGGCTGGAAGAATCAGATGTTACCAGAGTGTATAAAGATAAATGTTCAGAATTCTGCTTTGCTTCACTTTAAGTCAAACTTCCACATTTACTGACTACTACCTCCCCTCCACCTCCAATTTATTAGGAATTTTGTGCATGGGATTATTCTTCCATTTTTTGCTAGGTGACTGGAATGAGAAATGGACATTCTCTCAGCTGTTCCGAGACAAAAGAGGCTACCCATTACGTAAAGTGGTCTGCAATATTTCCAAGACTCTATGACTACAAAAACCCATTTCAAGTATTGTTTAATTTTACAAGTTTCCTTTGTGGGGAACAGAAGGAAAGGAGTAAAACTTGCAGTTTCCAGCAACCACATGAAATGTTTATTGATCACTATTAAACATTTACAGAGAAGTCCAGGATGGGCTTCATTTTAAATCTGAATGATATCAGCATGGTTCTTGCAGATGATTGCTGTAGCAAGAGAAACATGCTTGTTAGTACTACTCACAAACAGGCATTGAGGGCAGGTCTGATGAGCGTTATGAAGTGAGACAAAGGAGACCTAGAGTTAGGAGAGGCCCTACGACTGTTCCAGCCGGAGGGTGAGCATTAAAGGCTCAGCTAACGGAGGAGCAAACACCGAGTGTGGCATGCGCTCAGAGCCTTCACGTCATCCACCAGCTAACACTGAAGCCCTCAGTCAGAGGAGATCGCTTACTTTTGCAGTGGGGGGACGTGAGTTATTTTCCCAGCTACCAATGCATAGGATTTACACAGAACACCAGGGGAGATCCACAGTGAAGGCAGGGACTGTACTAGACACTGGGCCCAATTCCCCTTTTCCCCAAAGCCTGGCCCAACCCATAGCTAAATGTCTCAGAGCAGCAGTTTCCGCTTTGAAGTACTTCTCTGGGGCAAGAGAATGCCCATCGCTCAGGGATAAGGGACCCTATATAGAACTGCTATGTGACAATATTCTCCAACTTCTGGTTTGCAAAAGATCAAAGGCATAAAAAATAAAAGTAGACAGCTCAAGTCATTTCAGCTAATTTACAGCTTGAATCAAATTATTGTTTCTTAGCACAGACCTCTTTTAGACTTTCTGGATCTGCGGTGTACAGAGCGTGTGCTCTCTTTGAAACGGTCACAGTTGACTTCAGGAAAGGAATGCATACAAATAAAAGAAGAGAAGATATGAAGCTGTTCAAAGTTCTGTTTTTAAGGATTTAATGTGGGCAAAGGATTAAGAAAAATATAGTCATATGAACACAGCATGTTAAAGTGTCTGATATGACATTAAAAATGTGAGTAACAGTACGAGACAGATCGGCAATTTAGAGCCTGCTTCTGCTAACAGATCCACGAGGGCAGCCTCTGGGACAGCAAGAGTCTGAGCACATGGATCTGTTTGCTGTTCTGATTTTGTATTTAGTTTAAAATTAAGCCAAACTAACTAGTCTGTCCAAATCCATTAGTAAGAAGGTTTTTTTTCTTTTAAAATGTGACTAGTAATTTTAATTCATACTAAAGAGAAAATAAATGATGCTTTTAAAGCATCATTAAAACATTTAAAGGTGAACTGCTGGGGGTTGCTAACAGCTCTCAGAAACATCCAAGAATGAAAAAAGAATTGTTTAAGAATATAAGGAAGGGCAACATTTCTATCAAAAATTGCCTCAGGAAATACTGAGTTGAGTGCAAAAAAAAAAAAAAAAAAAAAAAAAGCCCATGATTTTTGCAGCATATGACCCTTAAAATAGCCAAAATATCCAAACTATTGGAACTATATAAGTAACTAGTTCCATTTTCAAAGATATTCTGCATCAACAACTTTTTTCAAATAAGGATGTAGCTGATCTAGCAAGCTATTTTCTGTATTCAAATGTGACCTCAGGCTAGAATTAGAAATATATTAAGACACTTATTAATCCAAACAGGCCCCAGTTGAATTCATAGATATACCTGAAGTAGGTTAGGTATCTATTTCCAAAAGACTTCAAATGATGCAGGCCTGTATTAACAACTACCTTTGAGGAATAATGCTTTAGACAGCTAACCTATTCAGGCACATCTCTAAGTCTGCGTGCCTATCCCCAGTTTTTGGCCTATAAATGTCTGTACAGGTGTATGTGCTATTCCTAGAGCAGCAGATGGGCAGTGGCATTTACAGGTGCATGTGGGTGGCAGTATTTGTTGTATTTACATGGCATAAATAAATACACAGATTTGAAAATACATCCTTTAAGACCTTAAAACACCCCTCCTTTTCATGGACAACGGAGACTTTTTAAATATCTCAATATCTCAAAAAAAAAAAAAACCCAACAAAAAATAACGTGTCTCATATTTACTAATATGATTCTGGAAACGATAAGGTTGTGTTCAATCTAGGAAAACAATTGTGGAAGATTTCTTTTTTTTTTTTTTTTTTTTAGCAACCACTTTTACAGTTCACTTTTAAACAGGACTGAACCAATTCCAGCCCTTTATACTCTCTGTATTGTGCTGAAAGTTTTAAAACATATTGAGATAGTTGTATAAAACATAGCTTCAGAAGGAAACGTAAGTTAAGATACTTGCATGTGTATCTCTGTACAGCACTGAACTGATGATTTAACACTACTGGTTCATAACAGAGAAACATTTGTTCAACCTCTGCTTTTTAAAGGGTTTGTTATTGCAGTTTCTGTAAAATCTCCTAATATGTAGTGTTATCCCAAATTATATTGTACATAACCCTTTGCCACCATCCCTTTAAATTATTAGTAAAGTAGGAAAATGTAGAAGAGTAAAAAGAACAACAAATAAGTGATTCTTTTTATGCTTTCCAGCAGTGAGCGTATCACAAAGCACCTCAGCACAGCACACTCCAAAGCACAAGGGATCTTTTTCTGTGTCTAGAAATCTTTCCGGTGACAAAAAAATTTAATAAAAAAAATAAAATAATGGCTGCAGAAGTGAAGATACAAGTCCTCATTTTCAGCAAAAGGTGTGACCAAGATTAAATATTTGTTGAATAAGGTCATCCAGATACTGACACAGAATGTATCCCATAATGTAGTAAATTGCTGTAAAATTTAGATGCATCTGCATGTAATAAAAACAAAAGGCAAAGCAAGATCCAGCCAAGTTAATAGCACCCAAAAGTTAGGTGAAGCAGATGTATTTTCCCTTACCTATTTTCTCAACTGGGGTGTTCAAAGGAAGAAAACCTTGTTTTAGAAGCTGATCCATCATCTCCTCATCATCTGCTTGGATCTCAGAGACCATATTACATGGGATAAGGCCAATTCTTGTACAAGTTTCACCTCGATAGAATCCATCAGCATCTTTGTCCCCATAAACCTGTTAGTCAAAGAATAATGTTGCTGGTCAATCAAAGTTTTATCATTTATGATTTTTAATGCAGGAAAAATGGTTACTAAGTCACAGACATATGACAACAGTTTGGATGTGAATATGTAATATCTGTTTTTGACTACTCTGACTTATGTTACAAATTTTGAATTGTTACTTTGAATTGTGACTTTAGATGCAAAAACAGAAATTAGACTTTTTTTGTTAGCAATGAAATGTACAGAAAAGTGAGAGACACTGACTTCCTTTGCTTGGCAAAAAATATGCTTAATGGTTTACACTGATGTTTATGGAATTATTCATACGGCATCATCTCTTGTGGCACTATGCTCAATATTAACTAGTTGCAAAACTGAGCTGGAGTTTTGCTATTTTGAATAGAGCATCTTGTGTACAACCAAAAAATCCTGTATAGTATCTAAAATACTTGATATATGTAGTTACTCTGCTATTATCTTTTCAAACAAAATGAATCAATAGCGTGAATTGCATGAATGAATGAATAGCATGAATAGCATGAAAAATAGCATAAATTTTCTTCAATGAGAATAGGTAATTCCAAAATTTCTGTCAATTCACAAAAGCTGCTAATGATAAAAAGGCCTAGATCTAGGACTTCACTACAAAAAAAAAAAAGATGTTCTTAAAGCCGAAATAATGATTGATTTTAGATTGTTCCTTGTTTAAGCACGACTTCTTTCTTTTTTTCCTTTTAAAAAATAAACAACCCCCCGCGAATCAATCCCTTCCATCCAAATCAGAGTTTGTTAAAGCTGATCTTCAAATAGCCTCAATTTTCTGAGGCTGGAACTTTTGTCAGTTTTAGTCACGACATGTACATAACGTCCCTGGCATTACTACTGCTTCACGCAGTGCAGCACGTGTGACCATAACGCATGCACAGGACAGACTTCATGCAACTTGCAGTGCAGCTCACCCACCCATCATCCCACTGTCTGTGTAAGGTTTGAAAAGTATTTTGAAAATACAAAGTAATCAACCTTCACAACAATTTGATAAGAAATGCAAAGCAACAGATGACATAAGTAATTTCCACGGTCCCAAATATACAATAAACATTACTAAAAATAGATATCTGACTTGTGACCTCTATAGACTTTCCAGCATCAAACGTACCTAGTTGTGAAGAAATAATTAAAATACCCAAGTGAAATGGACATTTTTGCCAAGAAAAATAAGTTTTTAAATGAATCTCCATACTTCCGGCATACTTTTGTATCTAATATCATATCATGTAAAGAGATAAGCAAATTATTTAACATTAAAATACTGCGATTTAGGATATGGACATTTGTGTTACAATCTAAATCAATACAGTCAGAGGAGGTCAGTGTTTTAACAGCTTATGTTGCAATTTTACCTTGAAAACTAGTATTTTTAGAAATTATTCTATTTATTCAGATTTAGTTTCAGATTGCACTTAAACCTCAGTTACCCCTGGACAACCAGCAGTCCTTCCTTCTCCCTACCCCACTTTTACTCTGTTTTGCATCAGGTGGATTAGATACAGGGCTGCAGGGTGAGACACCGAGAGCTGCTGATCCAACAGAAAAATCTGTAACTTCATTATAATTATAATCGGATCAGCAAGTTGAACTAGTTCAACTTGCAGCTGCACAATCATCAGATCTGAGATAAGCTGGGGTTGAAAGCATGGCTAAAGACAGGAGCAAGAGTGGGACCACCTCTTCCAGTGGCTTTGTGCAGTTAAAGCACGTTTAGTGTGATTATTAAGACCAGTGGAAGAGCACTGACAGAGCCTACCACTATCTGTCTCCTGAAACAGGGCAGATTTGTGTCCTGCTCCCTGTCTAAGGGCAGCTTGTGTATTTTACACAGAACAGTCAGAAAAGGGAACAGTTCTCCCAGTGACAGTGAGGGACTCCCTGGCAGGAAGCCTCAAAAGTTGTGGTATCCACTGCAAATTGTGAAGAGGTCGTCCCTGGATCCATGTGTTAGGCCTGCTATGAAAATGCCTTTAAATGACTCTGGAGGAGAAACACTCAATTTTTGGACCTTAATTAATTTTAAGTGTGTTAAGAGTGTATCTCTAGTTAAGAGCGCTCCGCCCTTAAAAATTACAGCGGCTCCAGATGTGTATGAAGGTACAAAGCTAAGCGCTTCTGCAATACCTCTGCAGTAAAGAGGCCAGCATCTCTGAAGCAGTTTTCTGTAGGGTTTACAGCCAACTGACATGGTGGGGGCTTCACAGTCATAGTTTTGGACTTAGCACTTAAATCTCTAACTGAATCTGGCCCTAAATACCTGAGGCAACTTTGAGATTTTTGCCTATTATTTTGTTTAAATATTTTTAAGGCATTAGCACGAGATTTTAGGTTCTAGCTCCAATGAGAGCTATAGCCTGAACCTCTGGAGGGGAAAAAAAAAACAAACAAACTTGGACTCCAGTTACACAAGTTGCTTTCCCCACAGGGAACAAAGCGGACCCTGTTTCCTTTGTTTTTAGGTCCCACCTTAATGATCTGTCCTTCTTTGAATGGCAGCTCTTCTTCTGCAGCATCAGGGTTTGGGGACATTGTCAATGGATCGTAGTCGAAGAGAGCAACAAATATTCGAGTAGAAATATCCTCTGTGCCAGGATCTGTTTCTGATTCTTCATAAATATCTGGAGAGAGATGGTCATGACCACCATAGCCATCTATGAAAGTAAAGTCAGAAAAGAACAATTCAGTAATACAAACTGGCCTAATTTTTCAGCTTGTTCCAGTTCATATTTGAAAAGTGTTTGGCGTTTCAGTGGAAAATATAATTCAATGCATGCCTAATTAATTTTGAGGGTTTTTTAAAAATAAGTTCTATATATATATTTTTAAAGCACATTCAACCTGCATGCACTGAAAGTGGCATTACGTCCTACACCACACGGACATTTACACGTGTTAATATAGCTCAGCTAAGAAAGCAAATTTTGTTAGGTTTACTAGAGTTGCCATAAACTAATGAAGCATGTAAGAGTGACACAATGATGAGTTTTGTAGGCTGTAAAAAAACACCATGCTTTGGATCCACCTGTTTTCCAGCACAGCTGATTCTGCTCTTCATGGACACAAGAAAGCACATCCTAGCTGTGTTGATATACCATGTTTTAGGCACCAAATTTAAAACATGGTCATATAACCTCTTGTCTCCAGACAAGCAAGAAGATACATTTCAGTAGTGTTGGTTTGCCAGGGCTAGAACCATACTAGCCATGATTCAGTTTAAAAACAGTCAATAGCTAACATAGCAGTGCCCTCAAACCACACCAAACACTAACAAAGTGTGTTAAAATCCAGGGGAATGGTTAGGTATGGCCTTTAACCCTAGGCTCATTAGGAAAGATCATCCATGAATATCACAGCACTGACACTGCGCTGAACTCCACTGCAGGGAACCAAATCAGTTAGGACATATGAAGTGAGAACTGATATTTTGTCTCATACATATTTTAGACGTTTCAAGCGACCCGGAGAATGCATTTAGTCTGTGAGTCAACAACGCGCTTCAGGATGTATTTCAGTAAAACATCTAGGCAAAACAGCTAACAATGAATGTTCCGTTTGATAGCTTTCAATGGCTTTTAATTTTGTTTTGAAGAGCATATGGCAGCACTTTCCCAAAAAACAGGCCCTTTCAGACACATGAAACCAAAGACTCCCAAAATAAAGCACTCAAAATCAAAAGCCACTTTTGAAAATCTTGGCTTATTGTGCAAGTCCCACTAACTTCAGTGGGAGTCAGGTACTTTTGCTAAGCTATTTGCTGAATTTAATACTTATCATCCAGTTTGCAAGATCTTTGTAAGGTAAGTAAGTTGAGAATATAATGCTGTGATTTACAATGAAAATGCATTAACTAGTTCAAATTTTTTACGTACCATTTTTATACTAATACGACTTGTACTGTAATCATCTCTTACAAATTAAAGACTCCCGTTTTTGGAAATAATTCAACCAATTAACATTTTTGATGATATTCCTCTTTCTGCCTCAATGTCAGATGCATTTTATTCAACATTTGACATTTTTAAACTACCCGAAAAAACATTTCAGAGGGGCACAGCTTTAAGGGAACAGCTACTGACTCTTGGGTCCAGAGCGCAAGAAAGAATGTGAATAGGAGAAATGCGGAACAGCAAAAGGTTAGGGAAAAAATTCCAGCCAACAAGCTTTATGCAGGCACAAAGCACAAAACGGAGGTGTGGGAGAAGGGCACACAGGGGACAGAAAGCAATGGGACACACGGAATGGGATTCTTCCCTGTTGTGTTCCCCTCCTACAGTCAGGTTGCCATTTTATGTTTCAGCAGGCCCACCAGGCAACGGAAAACAGGAGGGTTAAGGGGTGTTTTCCTTATTTCTCTTAAATTAAAAAGATTGATTTCTGCATCCAACTGCACTGAATGGAAGTTACGTGCAAACATGAATTATAGCCAAGTGTATCTCAATTAGAAGCACTGAACTGTAGTAACCTTGGCTCAGAATAGTCATGTTTGCTTCAGTTAAACAGAACGCAAACAGCTCTTGATTAGCTCATTAGCTAGTTACTTTATTCTGTCAAGAAGGCGTGTATATATGTGTATACATATATATGTATCATACATACACCCACACAGATATAATTGTATATGTAAAATCGCAGTCTTCGGATGCCGCCAGCCAGATTCCCAACTGGTGTAAATTACCATGGTTGCACTGAATTCACTAGATATACACTGATTTTCAGAAGCTGATGATCCGATCAGATATGTTTGCTTTGAAACCCAACAATAAATTACAATTTATCTAAACTTTTGGGGTCCCTCGCGCTTCATTTAAGAAATGAACAAAAGTTTAATGCTCTTCCTAGCTCTATATATGTCCTAGGCTGCTTCTACGGGTTATGTGTCAGACACTTCAATTCACTACGTTATGGGCTATGAAAATTGAGTTGTTGATCATGCAATGATTTCTATGTTGATGAAGCAACAAATACTACCAGTAGTGGGTATAATTATTATCTTACTCACGTAATTCAAGTTTGTCATTATGGTCTAATTATTCCTAAAAAAGAATTAATTTTTAGTTCACCAGGTGACAGAGCCAAAGGCCTGCGTGGGCAATGAGAAGACCCTGAATCAATCTTTAGCCCAACTGGTACATCAGAATAATGTTTGGCAACACGGCTTCCTGTTACAGGACACTGGGTTGTGATATACCAGCTACTGTCTGACCCTGTCCAGTCTGCATGAATCAAGTGGAAATGCAGTTGTTTTGATGAATAAGTGTTCAGGGTATATACAGTAAATATTGCCTGGCATTAGTAGCAGCGTAGCTTCACAGAGGTTCATGCAATGCAGTGTGCTTGGATTCAGTTGGACATGGAAAGGCGGCTGCACAGCACTTTCAGAACAGATGACTAAGGGCTGGATGTCCCTTACAGCTGAGCTGAAGAAACTTACCTGAGAGCGAGGCAGACAAGACTAAGAGCTAGTTCCCCCTGCATTCTGCATTGCATGCAATGTTCTCATACAGAAACCGCGCTTGTTAACACGCAGCTCTAAAACGTGTCTGTCACAAAGGATGAATAATGTTCGGCATACCGTATCTATATTCAGAGGCCATGGTACGCTGCTGAGGCCATTTCTTGTGTCCACCAATGCTGCGATAATAAGCTTCTTCTTTTACAGGTGAAATATTTCCCTCACTACCTGACCGAGACCGACCGCCTTCACTGTTACTGTCCATTGTAATTTCTATGGAGAAAAAGGGAATGATCTATTAAAACATATTGTGTAGTCTCCTTTGCGGAGGCTCCCGAGGGCAGGCTTTGCCTACCTTCTTTTCTGACTTTATACATATAGTAGGAAGGCTAAACACTGCATAAGCTTTGCCAGATGCCTGTCTCAACCTCTAGAAATACTTCAGCAGGGGAATCACAGAAATAGACATCTCCTTTTTTAAAGCATCTTAATTTTGTGCTTGTTAAAACTCACACAGGGTAAATACTGTTTGTTTGCTCTATAGGTAGGAATCATCTTTTATTATGAGGTTTAAATAATCCTACCTGCCAGATCTGCAAGGTCAAGAGCACTGTGCTTCACCTTCTAAAGTATACAACCTAAAACCAAAAATGAGTTAATTTACTTACATCCTACCTGCAAGAAGATACTAACCCAAAGTATTTATAAATTAACGGAGAAAACACCTCAAAGAATTGACATTTTGGAATGTTTTAGAAAAAGATTTGAGCACTGGAATCCTAAGACCGTTACAATTTTGAAGGTCCTTCCCGCTAATTTGACCTCCCAGGGCTGCGTAAGGAACTCTCCATTATTGAAGCGACCATTTAGTTCTGCTGAGCAACTCAGTAACTACTCCAGGCATGTACGTAGAGGAACAAGCCGCTATCGAGAAACTAGGAAACCACATTTTTAAGCTATACGCTGAGGTCAATAAGAGTGTCATTTATTTAAGCAGTCTAAAATTTGGCTTAAACTTACTTTCTTCTTTCCTTTCATGTCACTCTCTCTTTCCCCCTTTGCAGAACTTCATATTATAATGATAGAACCTTAAGAGTTTCCTTCTTTAAAAACCATACTTGCAGCCCTTACTCATAGGGAATTTTCTCACTACTCAGCAGGAGTTTTAAACAGAGGGATGAAGTTTACACAGTGCTTTACTATATGCTTTTGGATGCCCCGCTTCAAACTCACTTTATTTATCTGACCTGCTGATACGTTTCACGTCTTCTAGATCTTTTCCAGCAAGCTTTCAGGAAGCAACTTTTATGTAGAGTTTCATTCTATATTTATATTTGCTTCAATTATCCTCAAAGTGCTTTATTAAAGTACAATGCTGAAAGCGAGAAATAATGCATACATATCTTCCAGCATTTTTAATAACTAGTCTATTTAGTCAGAAGTAAGACTCTTGAAATCTAAGCCACATATGGCCTTTCATCAGTTTTACAGCAAATTATTTTTTTGCTTGATACTGAACATACTGTTCTGCAGTTTGCATGTTATTAGCATAAGACAGCATTGTAATTCATTTCTAATGCAACTTCCCCAAAGAACATCTGTGGATCGTACTTAGTACAAAACACACTCATTCACTCTTCAAGTTCCACTGAAAGAAATGAAGTCTGATGTTTTATTTTCTGTTTAGTTATCTGTTTGAGCATAGACTGATTATAGGAAATCAATTTATTTATCTCATTCCCAAGATGTTCCTCTTGAACTACTAAACAGCAAAGCCATTATTTAGTATCTTCCATGTTCCAACTTTGTTGACAGAAAGTGAGCACTGATAAGTTTAATCATTTCCCTTGTCTTTTATTTAAAATCAAAACAAAAAGGAGACCTAAAGGATTAATTCAAACAACCTAACCAACCTGACTGAACCCACTCTCACGCTATTTATAAAAAAAATTGTTTTAGCAGATAATACGAACAAAGAACTTAAATGCATAACTAGTTTTAAGTAGTCTAGACATAAACCAAAAATGTTTACTCTGGAGAAAGGAAGACTGCTTTCAGACAAAAAGAAAAGGGACACTAAACTCTGACAGACCTGATACCATCATCTGAAAGCTATTTGGTTCAGCTAATGAAAACCTCTAAATAGAAGCGCAAAGGCTCCCTGGAGCCAATTGTCCCCCATCCCGTTTTTGTAGCAGTGTAATTCCATTGGCATCTGTGAAGATAATTCTGGTTTATACCAAGATATGGGAGCAGAATCAGACTCCTCAATAGCCACGCTGTACTGCAGACACTAAGAAAGTTTCACGCATTACAGCTGTGTGTGTTTTCTTTTCTATTGCTTCATTAATAGTTAGGAGGATTTTTCTTTTAAGTTTAGAGTATAGCGAGACTGTGAGCCTATGAAAAGGGAAAAATATTTAACACTTAAAAATAAAAGCATTCCTTTATGGTCAATCTCTACCCTTCCGATAGTTCTCATTTGTGATGTCTCTCACTCACATAAATGTCAGGTAAGAATTGCCTGACACTGCCTTCCTGGTCCTCCTCATGATGCCTATAATATTCACAAATTAAAAGTCCAGGTTAGGGACAGGGACCAGGGCGATTTTATTCCTTTACAGAAAAAACATCAACTAATAGTTCGCAGAACATTTCCTGGACTTGTTTTGCATCTGTTTCCTGACTTTCAGTGTGAATATTCCTTATCTGTCAGTGCAGAGCACACGTTTTAACAGATACGTATTTGTCCACAGTGTCTTCATTCCATTATCTTTTCTGCACTACTTTTTGGATTTTCTGGCATACACCAGCATATACTTTAAGTCATGAGTAAACCAGAATAGGAATGACTCTGTTAGAAATAGCAAATGCAGTCAATATATGCAAGTCTACTAATTCGTTATATTTAAC